CTTGAGGTCATACAAGGTCAGGTTGGAGACCTGATTCTTTATATCGTTCAAATCCATACTGAAATATCTGGAGAGACAATAAATAAATAAGCCAGCAAAGGATAAACCAAGAGAGAAGTTGATGAGAATAATAAACGTGCAGCGGCTGACGAGGAGTAGACGACTCGGTATACCGTCCAGAGGCTTTCGCAATATCTCCAGGCCAGCTAACCTCAATTAGAGGTTGGGTCTTGAAAATAGATTGGGCTCAGGGGGCTTATCATCACGTGACGTAACTCACGATAACGGTGGCGTCGTCTGATCAGAGGTTTGCGATTGAAAATTTTGTTTGTTTTAGCCTCAAGATTGTAAACTGTAAATCAAGGGAAATACCAGGGAGAACCAAGGTTCTAAGTTGACCCGAGTTCCGGTTTCCAACTTGCCCTTGCTCGATCCTAATGATCCTCGAGACAAAGGTATTCTCGAGCACGCACTATGTCTACGGAGGTCCCCATTCGGCACCCCTGTCTGGGGTTGATGTGTGATGCGTAATGGACAGCGCGGACGGACACTATTTCTAGGCTAATGGGTAGCGCTAAGCACCTGAGACTTCAGGCCATAAGGCGGTGCCTTCATATTTGTTCGAATTCTGGCCAAAGTTTTCTTGAAGCTTCGAATACCGCCATTGCTATTGCTTCGAGGTTTAGGTCCACGAGTCTCGTTCTGTAATCCAATTCTATTGTACTTTTACTCTCCCAACTTTCAATACCAATCTTGCAGCTTTTAAGGTACGTAGCTATACGTTTTCCTTTCGTTCTGATATTGCTGCTGCCAGTGCAGTTCCTTTGTCTCGCTCGAGGGAGTTCAGAAAGAAGCTCAAAAGCCATCCCTTTTGAAGCTGCGCTGGCTTTCAACACAGCCCAGCAAATCAATTGGCCCATGCCCACATCCGTGCCCTCGCGTACGAGGAGCATTGGTGCGGGTGAAGCCGGCTCGCACTGACGTTTCTCAAGTGGGAGCATGCGAGGGTTGATAGGTGGAGGGAGCTCGAGGCACCTCGAGCTATACTGGTACTGGATCCCCCTTGGGCTGTTGGCATGACAATGGCAGTACACTCCCCTCCCACTTCCCTTGCCTTGCCTGGCACCGCTGTTGCAGTGGGATCAAGTCCCTCATACCTGAATCCGGCTGCCCGAGGCCCTGTAGGTATTTGCGCTGTGGAGGCAGAGACGCAACCCCTAGGCGACGGTGACCTCATCTTGAGCTCCAGCTCTGATTGAGGGAGCTGGTGCAGCTTATGCACGTGATCTGCACAATACGATCCACAATACCCACTGTTTCCACAATTTTGCGCTTTTCATTGGACACCGAAGGAGCTCCGACGCTAACAATTTTGCCCCCCTTCAGCTTCCTCACAATGCGTCCAACACTCTTGCAACCCCTCCTACCCCGCCATAACCTCTGCGCTTCTGCCAGATCTTCCATCCTCCCCAAACTTGCATCCTCCAACTCTTCTTTCCGCACCGTTCGATTCTTTTCAGCTACAAACGCAGCCATGTCTAAGGTGTAAGTTCATCCTCTTCACTCTCTTCAATCATCAAACTGACACTCTCCTAAGCTTTTTCGATGTCGAGTGGGAGGGCCCGGTCTTCCAGGGTGGCAAGCCCACCAGCACTGTGAAGGGTAGGTAAACACCTCGGGCAATAGCTCGTTCGATTCTCCTTTCTCCTTCAGAGCTTCAATAAGCCCAATTGAAGGCATGGGATTGATTTCCAACCGAGATTTGATGAATTTGTCAATCGGTTGTGATGGCAACCTAGATGTTTTTTGCCGTTCCTGCCCCGCTTACCTCTTGAACGTAATTGAGTTCGGCAAAGCTGACGAATCATCCCAAACAGCCCAGTCCGGCCGCATCACCTTCAACCTCTTCGACGATGTGGTCCCCAAGACCACCGCGAACTTCCGTGCTCTCTGCACCGGTGAGAAGGGCTTCGGCTACGAAGGCTCTTCTTTCCACCGCATCATCCCCGACTTCATGCTCCAGGGTGGTGACTTCACCCGTGGCAACGTATGAAGCATCCCCGCTCCCTCTACCTCATAACTCGGGCTCACTGTTTCAATAGGGCACTGGTGGCAAGTCCATCTACGGCGAGAAGTTCGCTGATGAGAACTTCAAGCTCACTCACGACAAGCCCGGTCTGCTGTCCATGGCCAACGCTGGTCCCAACACGTTCGTGAACCCCATTCTCGTATTTGATGCATGATTGCTAACCTTGACAAAATAGCAACGGCTCTCAGTTCTTCATCACCACCGTTGTCACCTCTTGGTTGAACGGTCGCCACGTCGTTTTCGGCGAGGTCGCTGACGAGGAGGGCCTCAACATCGTCAAGGCCCTTGAGGCTACTGGCTCTGGCAGCGGCAGCATCAAGTACAGCAAGCGCCCCACCATTGTTAAGTCTGGTGCCCTCTAAGCTGGTGCGCAATTCCGGACAGAGTACATGTATCCTACATACACGTCAATTTCCTATTCCAGAAACGGAAAGAAAATGGAGGCGAGATAGTTCAGGAACGTTATCGCTTGTGGTCATCGACTCATAGTTATTTGATCTGACCAAATAAAGCACCGAATTGTGAAGACTTTATCATGACCATATGCCACTCTTGACACTTTTGTGCCACGTAACTTGGAATTCAGTACAGAAACCACCCTAACCGCTCTTGTCCCAAATTTACCCATTGCCGCCAAACGCCAGAAGTATCGTACAGACATATATAACTCTCAAACCACCCAAATGAAGAGAGCAACAGAGGGTCTTGATCATGCTTTTGTGTCTATGTTCTTATTCCATCCCTAGCCATTTTTTGAAGTATTCACAATTGCTGGGACCTACCGGCCCTCCTTCCTCACAAAGATCAAATACAGGACACCGGCCACATGGGGCTTCGGTGTACGGACTGAGGTACGACTCAGGCTGGCCCTCTCTGCCAGTAGGGTCCTCACGTCCTGCCCATACATCGGTGCTCTGCTTCGAGACCCTGGAGACGCGGTATCCAATCTTCCCGGCCACCCTTATTGGCTCAAGAAGGTTATCCCAGACAAGGACGTCGACCAGCTTCTTCACATCCGATTCGGATAAGATGGTGTTATTTGTGATACCGCTGGCGGATAGCAAACGGGCGATGTCGCGGACGGTAGGGTAACCCGTATAACCAGCGGGGAGAGGGAGCAGGACCGCCTCTCGAGGTGTCGAGGCCGCCGACGTCTTGACTGCCTTTGCCGGCGGCTCGTTCATCTCCCTCGCGTCGCGCTTCTTTCCTCTGTCTGGATTCCCCTTCACCACGCCCTTGGACGGCGTCTGGGTTCGGCCCCCTCCGCTGTGCTTGCTGACGTAGCTGCTCTGGTTCTTCACATAGTCGAACACGACCCGCTGCAGATCCTCGATGAAGGCCTCATCTAGGTTCTGGTCCGTGTACCAGGGCCCTCCCGTTGCGCGGTCGCTCGGCTGGATGGACGCCTTGATGTACATCTTCTTGTTGGGGTGCTCGACGTTCTTGAACGGCGCGATCAGGCCCTTGGTCTGCAGGTGCTTGAGGGCCGTCTTGAGGACCGAGTCGTGCATGTTGAGTCGTCGCTGCAGGGTCTGCGACCATATGCCGTCGCCTCCAGAGTCGTCGATTAGGGAGTAGACCATTGCCTGCTCGTCGTCCAACTGTTTGTATCTATGCGAAAGCTGGAGGTTAGCTAACTGAGATTCTAGGGTGTACCACTTCCCATGGAGCTAGAAGGGTTTAGAAGACGGTATCAACATACTTGTGAGCCTCTTGAGCATCACGCCACTTCCACAGGATATTGTTGGAGGCATCGCGCATAGTCACGAAGAGCTTGTCGTCGCTCAGCGCCTGGACGACCCGGATGAGGAGCATCTTGTCGCCATTGGGAATGACGCCGAGGTCGATCAGGTCGTCCTGCGAGAAGGCGTCGTTCTCGCGACCGGACTCCTGGACTCGCTCGTACAGGGCCTGCTTCCAGACGGCGAGTTTGGCGGCATCTGAGTCATTCTGCACGGTGGTGGCCGCGGCCCTGGGGACCGCCGAGGGCGCCATTGGCGGCGGGGAGGGAGAAGTGCGAGGCTTGTGACTGTGTAATCGGGAGGTCTGGCAGGCGGAAGGGCTAGGATTATGAAAAGAAGCCGCCGGGGCCTCGGGTGGTTGGGGATATCACGGCTGATATTTATTCTCGGTGCCCCTCTCGATTTGGGTTTGAGCCATGGCTTCTACAGCCTTGCACGAGATAGAAAAAAATATATGGGGCCGGCCTTTATCGATGGGCTGGTGGGGGACGACCCTTGGGGCAGGTCCACTGTAGGCTTGGTTCTTGGCCCAATCCCGTTCGGTGTTTAGGGAATTATAGTTACCGCATGCCTGAAGGCTCTCAGCTTTTATTCTTGTTTCGCCAGCTTGAATGTGTCCGTTGTATGACGAGTTGGTTATTGTGTTAATGGTGTGAGTCATGGCACAAGCGCTCCGTGTCCGGGCTGGGGAGTGACTCTCACTCTGCTCCTCGCTTAAAACCTACTGGAAAACTTAGAATTTCTAACCTATCCTTGAGAACTTCAACTCAGTCTAGGCTCAATGGTATCGAATACGAATTGGCCTTGCTGTAATTGCTCTAGGCGTGTTTTCAAGGAGGAATTGGTGGAAGATGAAGGTAGCCCCTAACATATCGCACACAAGTTTCTATCATACATGTTCGTGACTCCGGTTGATGAGTCACAACCGTGAGATCAGCCTGTAATTGCAGCTGCGAAGATCTGGGCGCGAACTTTGTATTGTTTTTTGATGCGTGGGAGAATACGATAATAAACTTTAACAACAATGAGTATTGTTTTTTGATATAATGCTAAACTATGTCAGGATGGCTGTGTGATATATGACGCCAAACAAAATCTTCCACCATGTTGTTTAAGCTGACCCAGACCTTCTCTTCCCCTTAAACTCGCGCTTATGTTTGCCACCAACGCTATTCCTCATTATCCATATCAGGGTTGCGAAGGCTAGATGTCCCATGAGTATCAGGTAGGATCGTACAGTCGCCTGGCCGCCGCCACCAAGCCCCCCAACTGGGATCATTTCCCCTGAGCATAGTGAATGACTTCAAATAGCTCGAATACTTTTTGACATGTACCTTGCTTCTCCCGTAACCTTTTGGCTTTTGGAGCTCGCCCGTCATATCTTCGATCAAGCCTTTCTTGACGGCTTCTACCGTCAGATTTCCGCCGTGGCCTGCAACTTCGCCCTGCAGAAAAGAATCGAACTCCCTCGAGCATATCGCAATCGCCAGCGCTTGGCCGACAGTGATCTCAAAATCCTGGAGCAAGCTTAGCATGTCAATGTCATCATTTTCTTGGGATATCTTAAAGCTGCCCTTGAGAGAGAGCATATCCAGAGGGTCAGAGACGACGAGCGGGACGAAGACGTCCGGCCAGCGGCTGCGTGGTGCCTCCAAACCCTGATCTGGGTCATCAGCAAGCAAACAATCCCTCAAACTCATGAGCTTGAGAGTGTTTTTGTGGGAGCTGACAAAGTCCAAGAAGTGAGATGCCACTATTTCGATGCTATCTATTTGGAGGCTTCGCAGGTGAGGCCATGTGTGTCGCCTGGGGAGAACATTGGCAATCTTGACATGGGAGTACCCATCCTCCCAATCATACCACTTGAACGCGACTCGGATCTTCTCAAGGTGCGGCGCTGAGCACAGAAAGTTTATCAGCCGGTTCGTAGACAGAATCCGGTTGGCCACTGCTATCGACTCGCACCACTCCGACGACTTGTCGTTGATGCAGAGCTGTAACTCGAGGGCGCGGAGATGACAAAGACTCTCCTTTAAGTAAGATTTACTCCTGGTTTCGTAACCATCGAAGAACCCGACGTCCAGCACCTTGACCCGAAGGTTTCGGACCTTCAAGCTGGTCATGGCACGCAAGAATGCCTTCAACGGTTTGACGCCAGGGGGCCCAGTGTAAGAAGACGCTGCACTAAAAGGGTAAAAGGGCTGGCCATCAAGTACATTATACTGGTGGAGCCATTTGACGAGTGTCTTGTATGTCTGATTGTGCTGAAGGTAATCTTCTTCACAGAACGATTCTGCTATCTCCAGATGGTCCAGGCTGGTCAGGCGGCGGCAAGCATCTTCCACGTCTTGCGAAGGCCCCAGTGCCCTGAAGGCATTCTTCTGTCCGGATATCAGTTTCTCATAAATTCTCCAACACCGACGCCAATAACCATATAGGCCCCCGAGATTTCGCTTATAGGGTCTGGGCACCCGGCGCCGCCAGTCGTCGTAGTTGGCGTCTGGGTAAAACACGTTTATCAGAAACGTGACGCCAGACACATGGTGTCTGAGAACGGGATGCAACGAAATGGCGCGCAGCCGGGCGATGCTCTCGGCGGTGGGAGCGACAATTAGCATGGGCATCAGGAATTTGAGGCCAATGTCGCCGAATGCCCGGCAGACGAGGCGGAAGCTGGCCACATCAAGGTGGCTGTCGAGGCATTCGCATATGGTATGGAGGACCTCGAGGGGCAAAGTCGACAAAGTCATGGTCATTATGTTGGTAGGCAGTAGTGAGCTAAGTAAGAACTCAAAGGGACACTTTTAGCTGGGTGGGCGATGGAGAGGGCCTTGGGAAGGATTGTTAGATCTTCACTTCACTTTTTCGGCTTTTTTTCTCGTGAGAGGAGATGATCCAGCCCTCATGACGAAAATATAGCCGCTCTGCCGCTGTGCGGAACAATGCTTACATCAGGTAGGCTGTGGGTGGCTGTCGTTTTGAAACATACGAGGTAGTTAGCGAATCGCAAGAACGTATCCCAGAAAGATGAGGGGGTGTGATAATACACAGCGTTGCGGTTTATGCAGGTGATAGCTCATACACTCCTTGGATTCCCAGGCAGCGCAATACAGCCCACAAACAGGAAACCAAACCGACATACCTGCATCTTCACCCGTTTGTAAATCAAATGGACGTATTGGTAGTGCATAGGTTCACATATCTCTGTATATAACCTTAATATGATTGAATAACATATTCTGCAAGAGAAGACCTTGGATCGAAATTCAGACCCCAAACCAATCCATGCGCAACTCCAATGAGAGCGCCTTAACGCCATAGCCTCAGTGCGTCGAATTACAGATACAAATCCTCCACTTTTGTTGCAAGCAGAAGGCAACTAGGGGCCAAGATGAGGAATCTTGTGACCAAAACAGCAAGAGATGACAAAGAGAGAATCATGGTGTAAGCAGATCACGGTTTACCGTCGCCTTTCTTTTCCTCATCTTTCTTTCCCTCCTCAGCATCCTTGCCTGACGTCGCGGTCTCCTTTGCGGAATCACCTGTCTTCTCTTCCTTGCCCTTATCCGCATCATCCTTGGGTTGATCAACTTCCATGGCCTCAGACTCCCCTTTGTCTACGGGCTTGTCTGCCGTCTCCTTTGGTTCTTTCGTAGTCTCGGCTTCCTTGGCCTTATCCTCTGTCTCGGACGGCTTGTCAGCCTCAGCTTTATCTGATGTCTGTTTGGCCACGTCTGATTCATTGGTTGTTGCTGATGTTTTCAGCACCTCAGGCTCAGCATCTTCCTTCTTGATCGTGGTTGAATCTTCTGCAGTGGTCGAGTCGGCCATTCCAACATCTCCGTCACTGTCAACCGTCTCCTTTGGTGTCTCCTTTGGTTGCTCCTTCTCGGAAACAATGTCCTTTTCGGTTTGTTCGTTTACAGCAATGTCGTCGATGGTGTCGTCTGGATCGTTTCCTTCGTCGGCTACAATCTCAGCCCCATTCGCCTCGGCATCGCCATTCTTGCTTCGCTTGCCTTCTGCCTCTGAGTTCTCCTCTGCGCCATAATCGGTAAATGTTCTCTTGTTTCCGCTGTCACGAGTGGCCCCATTGGCGCGAGCGTGATCGTCATCGTCGCTAGGCTCAAATTCGGCCTTGTTTTCAATGTGCTTGTCCCATTGGTGTTCCGACATTCGGACATCCTTATTTTCGTCTTCATCGAGGTCGTCGAGCTCGGCCTCCTCCTCATCAGTCATTCCACCAAATGGCTTTCGTGGAACATCTTGCATTTGGACAGATGGGGCGGGTCCAGTTTGACGTAGGTTATCGACGACGGCAGCCTTGATCTTTTCAAGATACTCCCGGCTATTGGAATTTTCCATATTCGAAGACCTCACGTTGAGCTCGAAATCGGGCGCGTAGTACTAGTTAAGTCATTTAGTAAAGGAAAATTGTTTGCATGAACAGCTTCCAGTCTTACCTCGTAATATTCGTTATAAGGAAGGGTTCGGTCCATGTTTTGGCCAACCAAAACACCAGTCTCAAATGCCCAGGTACGCGCGACATTGCGCATTGTGTAACCACCTCCGCCAAGGACCAGGGTAGGGAGGCCAAAGCTCTTGACATAGTTGACACAGTTGGCATGGCCATCCATGCTCAGATTGAAGCAGCCCAGTCTATCGCCAGACAGACTATCACCACCGCATTGGAGGACTACAGCCTCGGGCTGGAAGTATTTCATGACATTTTCGATGACCGGCTCGAAGATTGACTTGTATGATTCGTCGGTGATACCGTCGCGGAGGGGAAAGTTGACTGCATAGTTCTTGCCCTGGCCAATACCAATATCGCGAAGCTCTCCAGTTCCTGGGAAATATTCGCCGTACTTGTGGAAGGACACAGTCATGACTCGATCGGTGGTATAGAATGCCTCTTCCACACCGTCGCCGTGGTGAACATCGATGTCGATATATAGCACACGTTTTTTGAACCGGAGGAGCTCCAGGATGCCGAGAACAATATCTGAGACGAGGTCAGTCGTGTGACGCAAAACCATACGACCGGAGCACCTTCTTACCGTTCACATAGCAGAACCCACTAGCTTCGGACTTTTTGGCGTGATGAAGACCACCAGCCCAGTTAATTGCGATATCGCATTTCTGTCGGTTCAGACGCGCAGCACCTTCCATACTTCCACCAGCACTGATGCCACAAAATTCAAACAGGCCATCGAAGACAGGGCAGTCGTCACCGACGTTGTACTTGCCCTGCTCGCGCATGTAGCTGTCCATGTTATCAGGGGTAACCTTTTGAAGGAAATCAATGTAGTCGTCGGTGTGAAATTGGGTCATTTCGCCTCTTGTCGCCGGTTTGGCACGCTAAAAGATTGAGATTAGTATAAATTCCCGTCAGGATAGTTTTGCGCCGCGGTTGCACTGGTAGAGGTAGGGCTTACATAGATTTCCATTTTTTGGTATAGATTGTACTGCATGATGAGACTGTGCGCCAGGCGAATTCTGTGAGGCTTCATGGGATGGCCGGTGACATAGGCATAGTTTCCGATATCCGAATCGTAGAAGTATGCAACCTTCTTTGGCGACGAGTTGTTGAGCGCGGTCGAGCCGAGCTGGGCCACCATCGTGCTGTCACCCATAGTGGCGGCTGTGTAATTCGATGGAATGTAGACGGTGTATTGGCTAACAAGATGTAAAAGAAGAAACAGAGTACCTTGGTAATGCGGATGAAGGATAAAACCTTAGAAAAGATGTGGGATTGAGGTTCACGAGTAAAACGACATGATGCAGTCGCTAGACGTGCAGGAAGAAGTGCGACAATCGCAAAGTAAGCTAGGACAATAGGTAGATGCTACAATAGATCAATTAATAGAGAGGCGAGGAAAAGTGGGGTCCCGGGCCACATTCGGGGTACGAAGGTACTTCCATTTACCGGAATAAAGTAGCCGCGACAGGGCCTCCCCAGCCACATCAGATCCAGCGGGTCAGCCACAGGGAGCTTGTTAGGCAGGCACGTGACATTACGAAGCCACCAGAAGCTCCGATCTCAAGGCTGCCGCACTGGCGTCAACACCGACAAGCTCTCGATTACATATGTGCAGCGTCGGTTTCAGCTCCTCCCCATCCAAAAACTGCCCCATACTACGACACCCGAATATCGTCTGGCCTATTTCTGAACATACTCATACCTAGAAGACCGAAGCTATGGATCGGTTTAGACACATATTGGGTGGTGCTGGCATGGGTGGCCTAGGCGGGCCAACCCCAGGTCAGGTATGTACAAGGCGATAAACCAGTTCGGTTCGCATCACAAGAAGCTTCTAACACCACAACTTTTAGGACAACTCAACCCTGATTGACAATTCCGAAACCGTTTACATTTCTTCCCTTGCGCTTCTCAAGATGTTGCGCCACGGCCGGGCTGGTGTGCCCATGGAAGTGATGGGCTTGATGCTTGGCGAGTTTGTGGATGATTTCACTGTCAAGGTCATGGACGTTTTTGCCATGCCCCAGAGTGGTACGGGAGTCAGCGTAGAAGCTGTGGACCCCGTTTTCCAGACCAAGATGATGGATATGCTGCGACAAACTGGCCGGTAAGCTTTCAGCCCGTCGTACGGTTCACAACCCACCGAAACTAATGAACACTTCTAGGCCCGAGTCTGTCGTTGGATGGTACCACTCTCACCCCGGTTTCGGATGCTGGCTCTCGTCGGTCGATATCAACACCCAACAGTCATTCGAACAACTGAACCCTCGTGCCGTGGCTGTCGTCGTCGACCCCATCCAGTCAGTCAAGGGAAAGGTAGTCATTGATGCCTTCCGCCTCATCAACCCACAGCTTTTGATGATGGGACAAGAGCCCCGCCAGAGCACGAGTAACTTGGGCCACTTGAATAAACCCTCGATCCAGGCTCTCATTCACGGCCTTAACCGACACTACTACTCGATAGCTATCAACTACCGCAAGACTGCTTTAGAGGAGAATATGCTGATGAACCTTCACAAGCATGTGTGGACTGAGGCTCTTGATATGGATGACTTCCGGACTGAGGGTACCAAGAACAAGGACCGTCTGAACCAACTCGTGAGCTTGGCGGACGGCTATGAGAAGCGTGTTAAGGAAGAGACAGAACTCACCAAGGACCAACTCAAGACACGCTATGTCGGAAAGCTGGACCCAAAGAAGCACTTGGAAGATGTTGGACGCGAGCTTATTGAGGACAACATTGTTGCCGTTTCAAGGCAAATGATCGACAAGGAAGCTACTCTGCCAAGAAAGGATGGTGCAGCAGCAAATGGGGCTTCGGAAGCTGAGCAGATGGATACAGAGGAGGAGTTATGAATGGATTGTCATGCACGGAAGCGCCTAATTTCGGAATAATTCTGTACGGCTACAGGGCGTTTGGGCTGGGATTCAAACTGGACTGGGCAAAATAGAGACCCGGGAATGTGAAGGAATTCTTGCATGATAGAATCAGTTTACTTCTCTCGGGCTTGTTCTTAGTTGCGCTCAACTGTGAATGTTCTAAAGCTATCATAATGCGGGGACCCCTCGCCCCCAATAGCCGCACAACGCACCTTGCTCTTTGTGCCAAACAAAGCAATGATCTAACTGGCCCCGGAGCAATTCTTAGAAGACAAATTCGAAGTCTATTGAAACGCCGCGAAAGAGTTCCGAAGCCCGGGGTAATTTTCCCCAACATTGTTTTGGCTCTGTGATTTAGTCAGAGAACTTGTAACTTATTCACACATCTTGTTCTGGCTGTATACTATCTCACACCCATGTGATTAAAATGTTTAAATACCAGACGCCCTCACCACTTCTCTTTCCTCATCCATCTTATTTGAAATTTGACCCAGTTGGCCTAAATTTACAAAGAGCAAAATCATCTGATTCTTAGCCATGCTTCCAGATTTTTTTCCGTACGTTTCTGACGTACCGTCAGCCCGATCTAAGAGACCATCGTCAAGGGCTCGGCGAAATACCAAATGCAACCAACACAACGCTGACAATGGCCAGCAACAAAGCCGCCAAGCGTATAGTCGCGAGACTGACTCTAAGCGGACGAACTTTACATGTCCAAGGCACCAAGCCAGGGGCCACTCTGTCTACAGTCAACATATCGCACAAACAGAGAAGCTAAGGCTGGTAGAGTCGCCGCCTAGACTATCCAAGAAATCTTCGAAACCTATTCCCGGTGGATATTCATCACCAACACCTTCACAATCCATGAAGATGAAGGAATCCACGCCTATTCATGTGAGGAGGCAGTGTTCTGATTCTCCAAGTTGCTCACAGTCTAGGCAATCCTCCCGGAAGAAAAGTCCGAGAGTCACTGATATCCAAACAACTCAGCCATCCTCGAAAACCACTAGCAGAAATCGCCAACAAGGCTCATCTCTTCTCTCTTGGGGCATATCAAAGTTAAAAGCCATGTTCCAGAAAGACGAAGCTCGCTGTCAACCACAACCCGCAAGACAACCCCAAACCACCATACACACAAAACAACCAAGCCCCCCAAACACCCCTCACAGCCGCCGCTCCTCCATAAGATCAATAGTAGAAGAGCTCCCCCTCAACGAACCCATGGACGCCGAGACCATCTCCCAAGTCACCCAGTCCTTCCACCAAATCTTCTCCCACATCCCCCACGCAGTCTACGGCCTCTCCGCCCTCGCCCTTCACGGGGACGAACCCTCCACCCTCGCCCTCCCCGGGGACGAACCCCGCCGCCTCCCCCGCACCGTCCACGTCCTCTGCCCGGAGCACACCCGCCAGACCATCCTCCACTGGGCCGCCATCAAGCAGCTCACCCGCCTCTCGCCCGTCACCAGGGAGGGCCGCGACCACTGGGGCGAGGACGACAACGGGTACAGCGTCTACTCGACCGAGTTCCACGGCGGGGGCAACATCGAGGGACACGACCTCGTCCTCGCCGTGGCCATACCGGACGGCAGCCTCCGCCGCGTGAGGATCGTCTTCGAGGACCAGGACGAGTTCAGCAGGCTGCCCAAGGTGCCAGCGCCAGCGCCAAAACAACCCACCGTGCCCTGCCCCCGGACCGCCACGTCCCCGCAGGTCCTGTCCCTCCCGGCGATCGTGACCAGGATAGTCCTCGGATATCAGAAGTCCCTCACCGATGGCGCTTCGACAAACACGCAGAAAGTCATGCGTGATGGCTTAGTCTGGGTATTGGACCAAATCATCAACTCCCCACCCAATGACAAGGTCAAGTTGGACGGGACATGGAAAACCAACCTGTCTAGCTGGGTGTTCTTGGTCCCATTCACAGAGCAATTCCCCGAAGCAGAGCCGCTACTCGAGCAGGCAGGAATCGAGGTAAATAGCCAAGGCTTCCAAACCACAAGAGTTTTGTCTGCTTCCAACATTGAAGGAATTTAGGTCCTTCGTTCATTCTTTAACTATCACCTTTCCTTTGTCTTCGGTTTTCTTGTCTTTGTTTTATGTTAGTGAAGTGAGTTTGTGGTTTGCTCATTAATCTATTTGCATTTCAACTCAGAACCTTTCTCTAGGCTTTTAGAACCAGTTTTGATGGCTATCAAGTGTTCTACAATCAGCGTTCTTTAGATACCCAATATAGACAAACTAGATAGATAATGATAATTCTTCACAACCTTGAAACAAAATTATATGAATTCCCGGTACTATCGATGACCTATTGTTTGAGAGTTGACATTTCATGTATTCCTCAGGCCCACTCTGTGTTAACTAAGTTAAATAACATTGCTTCTCATGAGAGGATATCCGGGCACCATCGAATGCTGCCTAGAAATAAGCCTTCTAATGACATAGAAAACTGGAAATATGTGCTCCAAGACAAAATTGATCTTCCTGAACTTATTCCACCCGGGTGGCTAAGTACTCCATACGCCTTACAGTGATATCAAATAATTACTCCACAGCATGCAAAACATCTGCGGGCCATAAATGGCCATTCTGCCACCTCTCGCAGTAGTAGACACTGTGTGGCAAGAATCGGCTCCACTAATCCTCTTTCATGGAAAGAGTCGCAGCTCTCTTAAGAGAAAGAGCTCACTGCTATAGATGAAATGACGCAAATATCAGATCTCCGAAGAAACGGCAATCTCGGAAGAGTGCCGAGGAATCCTCGCCGACATGTCCACGAACTCTAAACCTCCATTGCAGGAAGCTTCTTTCCTCGCTTGCCCAACAGGGTGGCGTTACCCAGGTTGAGCTCGAATGGGCCCTTCTGCCGATTGCGATCTCGTACCTGTTGCCTGGCGGCTGCGGTGATTGCAGCCGAGTGCTGGCCGTAGCCTCGTTCATTGACTCGTTCACGGTCCCGTCCTCGTGCTTGGTCTTGGTCGCGGATATTGGTCTTCCGCATGCTTTGCTCAAGTGACTGTGTCCCGTGTTGTGGCTTCTGATCTCCACCCTGCCCGTCAATTTCCATATGGTGCTCATCCTCGTCCTCCTCGTTGAGACCCCCAAGGTACTTTCCTTGGCCTCCCTTGACGCCAATTTGTTGTCTGCGCTTGCCTTCCTCCTCCTGTCGGTGCACGGCATAACCCACGTCAAAGACCTCACGAAGGTTGACGGCACCGGGGGATCGGAAATCATATCGTTTCCCAGATTCTTCAAATTTGGATGGGTCGAATGCACGAAGAACGAAATCCGGCTTCTTCTTCTCTTCCATGGGAGTTGGGCCAGTGATCTGGACCCACGGGTGGGCAAGAAATTCACGAATTGTATAGCGCTTCTCCGGGTCGACGGTTAAAAGGTGTGAGATCAGATCCTGGGCCGATTTGGATATCTCATCCCACCAGGGAGACAGGAAAGTATATTGCCCTTTGGCAACCTTCTCAGTGAGCACCTCGATACTCTCATCGTAGAAAGGTGGGAAGCCACACAGTAGTGTGTACAGCACACATCCAAGAGCCCACATGTCGACCGACTTGGAGTATCGCTCATCCTTCACAATTTCTGGTGCCGTGTATCCTACGGTGCCGCAGGGTGTCATAGTCTGGTTATCCCAGACAATCTTGGAGAGACCGAAATCGGCAATTTTGATCTGGCCAATACCACCGGCACCTTGGCCAGCAATGAATTCACCTTCATCCACCTTATCCTCATCACCGGGCTGCTTCGGCTTGGGAACTTTGGAGGGAACGAACGGAATTGGGTTGAAGAGGATATTCTCGGGTTTGATATCACTGTGGACAGTATTAGTGGTTGGTATTTAAAGAAGGGAGACGACCATGACAAAAGTGCGCATAGTGGGCCTAATGAGCAAGGACGGGGGCTGTCGAGTACATACCGATGAACAACACCCTTCTCCTCATGCAAGTATTCAAGCGCCTTGGCAACTTGGACAATGACATGCCTGGACAGATCCTCGCTGAAATACGTCAGGCGAACAATTTGATGGAAGAGCTCGCCGCCAGGAGCTAGTTCAAGAACGATATAGTAGTACTGCCGCGACTCGGCGAACTCGACCAACTTGATGATGTTGGGATGGTCAAGTTGACGCATGATTTGTACTTCTTTCAAAATGTTGGAGCGCTAAGAAGAGGTCAGTACCGAAATCGATCCAATTCTGCAACGGCCATCCATGTTGATATACAAGAAGAAACGAGCAAACAAAAAAAAGGATGGCCGGATATAACGGCATAGTGGACTGAAGAGACTTTTCGCACCTCAGCGGCTTTAGGAACCTTTTGGAACTCCGGATGTAAATGTTGGTTTCCCTAAGTCGCGGGGAATGAAACCCCATGGTTGGTAAGGCCCAGATAAAGTAAGGAAAAGCAACGTAAGGAAAGAAGCCAGCGAGAGCGATGAGAGAAGAAAGAGAGAGTGTACGTATGAAGAGGAGAGGAAAACAAGCCCGTGGGGGGAAATCCGTACCTGCATATTATTCATTTCGTACTTGCGAACAACCTTGATCGCAACCTCACCAAGGTCTCCTTGCAAATCCTTGGCCCTATACACATTACTGAAGGCTCCATCGCCCATCTTCTCGACCAGTTCCCAGCGCTCTAGGCCCGGATACCGCGGGAATTTACTCTTGCTCGCATTCTCTTCGGCGATCAACTTGGCAAGATTCGACTCATCGACGCGCTTGCTCTTGGTGGCCGTCTTATTCTGGACTTGCTGTGCCGGCTCCACATGGTGGGCAGCAGCGTGGGCAGCTTGCGCAGCTCGGTTCTGTGCGTCGCCGGGTGCTTCTGAGTAGACATTCAGCGGCTGTGCCTGGGGTGCATGGCCTAACTGGGGTTCGCTATCGGGCATCGTCGTCACGGCCTGCTTGGGTGCTTGTGGCGCAGAGTCATGTTTGCGGGCAGGCTCCTCGTTAAAGTTGGCAGCTCGGGCTTGTTTGCCTAGATGGTCTCAGTCAGTACCGGCGCCTGTGGATCGGGAGACGGGCAATCAATCAGAAGCGACAAAGGAAAACGAGATCAGATGCTTTTATTTTGGGGAGGCTGGCTCTTGTCTGGCACGCACCATGACGGATAAAATTCTTAAGCTGCTGTATCGTCGACATGGTGTCCGAGAATTTGGCCGCCCACGGCCCAGCGTTGACGTAACAGTTGGGACGAGCGGGTGCGCTGAGATGATGGCGATGGGGCGGGAAGACGTCGCAACACAAACAAGCTCGCTGAGGGACAGGTCAAGAGTGAAATAGAAATAGGGTGGGAAAAAAAGCCCGGTCTATCCAACCTGCATGGGGAGTTTGGAGCTTAGGAGGAAACAAGAGCGTGGCAGAGGCGGAGCAGCTAAGACGAAAAATCGAATGGGAAAAAAGCCCAAGGCAAGGTCGAGGGTAGTTCAGGGCAGGGGCGAGCGAGGCTGGATGATGACGATGCGGGGTTGCCGAATGATGCTGCCAAGTTCTGGACTCTAGCTGGTGGCACCTACTATGCACAGCGGGCTGGCGGGTTAAAATGGCGCAGCAGCAGGCGGAGCTGGAAGTGCAGGCGAGACGGCTCGCGATTGAGTCTGATGGAGGAGAATAAGAAGGGACCGAGAAGTAGACGTGTTCAGAGGCCTAGGTCGAAGCACCCTGTCTTTCTTGGGGATTGGGGAGGGTTTGAATGATGACGGACGCAGCGATAAGATGGGCTGCAGAATGGTTTGCGGATTAGAAAGCAGGGCACAGCAAGTTAGTCGAGAACCCTGGCCGCATGAGAAAGACTAGTCGCAGTGAAGAGGCGCCAGAGCCGGGCTGTTTGCTCCTTGTCTCCAGCAGGTATTCGTTTCTCCAGCTAAGCGTAGTAGCCAGAATTAATAAGTGCCAGCAAAAAGCAAATTGACGTGCATTTCAACAGCGACTGAGCAAGTTTTAGTGGGGGCCTTGCACGCGGCGATGAAGTCAGAGCCTCAGCTTGAAGGGAGAAGATACGCGGGATGGATCGAGTTGGGACGGAGAAGGATCCGCTGCCATACAGAGGAGACGTATTCAATTCTTAATGGTCCTGGTGAAGTACTTGCCTGGTTGCTTTGACTCTTTAGATTTACTTGGTGTCATGCATTTACAACATGTACCAGCTCTGAACAGGCACTGCGACGGTACATGCCTTACAAGGGGAGCTACCCACTACGCTTGGGCGGCTAGTAGTGAAGGCAAGGCACTGAAGGATGTTCTGGGCAGCCAAAATGCTCTATGCTACGAGGTACAGGGCATGAGGATGATGGTATCTATCGCGTACTAGGACCAAGCTACCTACATCATTGGCATAGTCAAGCACGCCTACCTATCAATGCGGGCGTGTCGACATGGGTGAGATCTTGTTCGACAAACAGGCGCTGCTGACCTGATTTCTAATATGGTAGGCAGAGCTGTGCAGGAAACCTCTACAGGGGTCTAGGCTCAAGGTTCCAGGCCCTGATTGTCACTGGTACTTGGGACCGTCGGGAGAAACACAGAACGTAGACAAAGGTTTCACAAACGACTGAAAAAAATCTCAGAAGCTCTCTTTCCGAAACACACTTACTTCTAGGGAGGCGCGGGACTGGCCTCGCCCCTGGACTCCTGGCCTGAATCGTAGTTCGTGGGGTGTTTTTCTCCCACCCCTTCATGCTGGCCTGAACTCAAAGCAGCGCGAATGGACACAATTCGTGATTGCGCGTGGGTACATTCCGCCTCAGGGGCTGCGTCGCCATGAGTTTCTCGTCGAAGTTCTTTCGCTAGCTGCCGGCTAGTGACTAGTTGCATCGTGGTAACAATGAATAAAGCTGCCTCCTGTTAGCTGTGCATTTGTCATGAAACAGGTTTTTGCTGGTCCCGTACCCAATAAGTACGCAATACGTTAGGCAGTACTTGATAATGTTAGCTCCTCCTTGGGCTAGTTGGTCCATTTTGGAGGGGCATCCAGGCGTGCGTGTTGCATGCATTCTCTCGCTTCGCATCTGGCATATGGCCCAGGCGTGCAGCTACAGCTTCTCTCGCGCGCATCTGTTCGCCTCTTCTCTTGCAGGGCCGACGAAATCCTAGGCCGATCGGTTGGTCCAAGGCCGGCGCTTGGACTTAGACGTGGGCTTGGGCTTGATTTGCGCCTAGAAAGGCCACCAACA